GGGAGGGATGGGGGGGTGCGGCGTGGAGAGGAAGAGGGGAAACTGAGGACTGGACGGGGAGCCCTGCTTCTCCGTGGGGTTTGCATCCCACGAGCGGGTCGTGTAGGCGCTTTGGATTCGACCCCAGAGCATGAAACTTCCCAATCAATCAAGAAAGGAGGGGGAGGAGAGGAAGGGAAAAAGGGGGAGGAGAGGAAAAGAAAAAGGGGGGCGGGAGCAACAACCAGCATTGTAGAGGTCGCAGGCGTGGCTCAGGTGGTAGAGCACCAGCCAAGGGCCGAAAGCGCCAGATCCCGAGTTCGAGCCCGGGTCTCAGTGCACACAAAACCAGCGAACCCTCCCGCGGCCCAGCGCGCCTTGCAGGCCTGTGTTGTGGGTCCCGTTCGGGACCCCAGGCGGCCCGAGGGTCCTTTGCACTTATGGAGGTAGGTTGTCCCCTGCCAACCTCCCTGGAGGCTACTGGAAAGCTGAGCCCGGAGCCCCGAGTCCCGCACGGTGCCGTGCCCGGGCCCACAGGCCTGCCCGCCGGGGCGATCGGCTTCCTTCCCCCTTAGACCCTCCTCCCACCTCCAGGATCAAAACGCCTAGACACGACACATGGACAGGGTCTTCTATTCAAGGAAAACTATGCAGTCACATCTTGACATTAAACCAACAGACCCCCAACGAGAATATATTTAGTGCCCGATGGAGACAAGGGAATCACTTTCAGATTGAACATGAGAGAGAGAAAAAAATCTAAGCCAGCTATTTTCCTTAGGGTGTTTATAAATCACAGAGATTTTTAATAAGAGCTATGACAGCGGTTCACATAGTACATTTGCAATGGTTTACATGGTGTATTTGCTTTAATGAACGTACATGTCTATTTTCTCATACTATTTCTCCAAAGGACATCTCCTCGTTGAATAATAAACAACTTCCCCTGAGAAGCTTCACAATGGAAACCATAAAGATTATTTACTAACATTTATAGGCCTCTCCAAGTCTGCCTGAAAAAAAAAATCTTAAAGGACGTATTTAATGCACATTTTGAGATCAGGAATAATCGCCACTTCAAGGGAAACTTTAATACTGTCCTGTAGAGCTCAGTGTTAAAAGACTGAAAATTCAAAAACTTCAGGCAGTCGTAAAGTATTAGTCAATGCCTGTGAGAAATGAGGCTGTCCCTTCCTTCAGTGTGTCAGTGTTTAATAGTAGGCTGGGATGCATATAAGCTAGTCCAAGCATGAAGGGCAGCGGGACACACGTAGGAAAAGCCAACTTCGTTCCTCAGTTATCAAGATAAGAAACCTGTCATTTCTCTCATTCACTCTGTCAGCCTTGAGAGACTCCGAGCAGACTTACCTGTGTGTGTACACCCCATATATCAGGAAGATGAAGAGACCCTGTAAAATAAAATGGAGAGGAAAGGCTGTTAACGCTAATCATTTCAGCAGTAGAAATCCCTGAAATAAACTTTCCTGGGAACAGACAAAAGAAGACACACTTCATCAAGGTCAATTTATTTTCCTATTTTTCCACATTAGAAGCTGTACCTTGAGCATTTATATGATAACATACCAGCACATGCCTTACAAAGTGTATGCTATTCAGTTCTTTAGAATTACAAAGTAAAAACACCATCCTGAGTTCATAGAATAATAATTAGAAAAAAATCAATATACTTGTCCCTGAAAGATAGATGGGTAATGAAAAAAAAAGTAAATCAGAAAAATATCATCAATGTCATCATCGAAATAGCATTATACATTTACTATCTAAGTACTGTTTTGGACTGCAACAACTAGAATATATTTGTTATAATTGGAAAATAATTAAAATATAAAACACTAGTGCTAATAGCTGAGTGGTTGAAGGTTGGTTTCCTGTGAGTGGGGTTCTGGGGTTGGAACCCCAGCACTTTAAACCTTCACCCCAACCTAAAACGCTAAGTAGATAAGCTTAAGGTAGTAAATGTGAACTTTGTTTTTGTTTCTAGTGTGTGTGTGTGTGTGTGTGTTGTTGTTGTTGTTGTTGTCACTCCTGGGCTTGAACTCAGGGCCTGGATGCTGTCTCTAAGCTTTGTGTTCATGGCTCAAGTGCACTACCACTTGAGCCACAGTTCCACTTTTGGCTTTTTGCTGGTTAACTGGAGATTAGAGTCTTATGGAATCTCTTGCCAGGACTGGCTTTGAATCACGATCCTCAGATCCTCAGCCTCCTGAGTAGCTAGGATTATAAGCAAGAGCCACCAACTGACACCAACTGTTTCTTTTTCTTTTTTGTCAGTCAGGGGGCCTGAACTCGGCTTGGGCGCTGTCCCTCAGCTCTTCAGCTCAATGCTAGTGCTCTACCACTTGAGACACAGCACCACTTCTGGCTTTTTCTGCTTATGAGATGCTGAGGAATCGAACCCTGGGCCTCATGCATGCAAGGCAAGCGCTCTACCACTGAGCCACCTTCCCAGCCCCTGTTTCCTTTTTTTGAGACAGGGTCTTACAATGCAGCCCAGGCTGGCTTTGACTGTGCCACCATACCGAGCAGTAGGAATAAGTGGCTCACATCTGTAACCCTACCTACACAGGAGGCTGAAATCTGAGGATTACAGTTCAAAGCCAGCTTCAGCAGATAAATCTTAGATCCTGTTATCTCTAATTCATCAGCAAAAAGCTAGAGGCAGAGCTGTGACAACTTTGAGTGCAAAAGCCAAGCAAGAGCACAAGGCCCTGGGTTCAAGTCCCAGTACTGGCATAAAATAAATACATTAGAAAGAAAGATTAATGAAGATTTTTGCACAATCGAAAAAAGGTACAATTTGGCCATAAACGTCACAGAACGTAAGTGCACAGTTTTTCTCGTCATGCATACATGCCATCTAAAGTTCAACACCAGGTGGCTGGGAAGGTGGTAGCGTGCTTGCCTAACATGCTATAAAGCCCTGGGTTCAATTCCTCAGTGTCACAAACAGAAAAAGCTGGAAGAGATGCTGTGGCTCAAGTGGTAGAGTGCTAGCCTTGAGCAAAAGAAGCTCAGGGACAGTGTCCACGTCCTGAGTTCAAGCCCCAGGACTGGCACACACACACACACACACATGTTCAACACCAGCCCTCAGTTCCATTTTCAGGTAGCTTTGGTCAAGTTTGTATACCAAATTCAAGTTGCTTCCTTCCCTGTATGTGTTCCATGTCAGGTAATCAGAGCGTTAAGCAAAAAATAAATAAATCTTGATTCAGGTTCAATCTGTATGACAATAGCTTCTGCAAGAAGTTTGAATGCTTTAAATTTTGCTTTCTAGGGATTAAATGAAGAGTAGATGTCTCCAATTTTAACTCCGCTTATGAAACATGGGTATTTTGTTTTGCGCAACAAATTTGTTGAACAAATTTCCTGAACATTGAACAATATGCATCTTGACTTTATATAAGAAACCCTGTAGTTTACATGGAATCTACATGATATTTTCAAAATCGAAGAGTTCTTCTGTACCTACATAATAGGTCTAACTCCTACAATTTATCTTTCACCAAATCAGTTCCCCCTAAAAGAGAGTTTTGTTTTAAGAAAATCATGTTTTCCCTCACCTTAGTAAACTGAAGAATACAAATCACTAGTTTCATTTCTTGTACTTACGTTTACTATTATCTTGTTGAAATTGCTGATCAGGTTGGAGAGCACACATCTGTAATCTTAGCTGCTCTAGAGGCAGAGGCAAGAAAATTTAGAGTTTGAGGCCCGGTTTAGCTACACAGACCCTATCTCAAAAACAAAATACATGGGACTAGCAGCAGGGAGCTGTGGAGGGGGAGAAAGAAGGGAGAGGGAGGGTTGTGAGAGGTGGAGGAAGAAGATTGAGCACTGTTGAAACAGTCTCTTCACAACTATGAAATCAGCAGGTTTTCTGGTCGGTATGATACTTCTTAGAGAGAGGGATGCAGGAGGTAGATAGGGGTGGAATTATTTAGAACACAGCCTAACAAGTGGAGATGTAACAATGAAACTCCCCCCGCCCCCACCATGTCCAACTGATATAAGCCAATAAAAATACAAACCAAAGAGCTAGGGCTGTGGTCAAGTGGTGGAGTGCTTGCTTAGCAGGGGTGAAACTCCATGGTATCAC